ATAGATAGATAGATAGATAGATAGATAGATAGATAGAGAGAGAGAGAGATACAGAGACAGAGAGAGACAGAGAGAGAGAGAGAGAGATTTTGACATTCCAGAATGTATTCTGGGTGGTGTAAATATATATTTGGGGCATTCAATGTTCAAATATATTTTGGGGCATTCAACAAATTATTATTTAGTAGATTTAATAATGTAACATAAGCGTTCACTCCCCATTTATTTATTTCTGATACAAATGCAGATCTAACAAGTTGGCAGAATCCTATACAAACATTCTCAATTGCATTCATTATTGTATCACATTTGAATTATTCTTGTTTCAGGTTATGCTCATTTCCTGCCACCTATTCTAAAGCATGACCCTTTAGCCAGTCAGAGGACACAAGAAATAATTATATTCCTATGACTGATGGCTCACTTTCAGATTCTTGCCACTGTGTTGAAGCACTATTGGGCACAACTGGATAATGTCTTCAGTTACATCTCAGTTACATCTCTTCCCATGGATTTCTCCCAATCCATGGGAAGAGGAAATTGAGTATTGATGGCTGCTCACAATCACCCCATCAGGGTTGCTTCATTTCCAGATGTGGTTCTTGGAAGATAATTACCCATCATTGGATAGGTTCAAATTTTTTCCATGTCTTTCAGGTCTTCTGCTGACATCCACAAGATTTAATCCTTTGGTCCCAAATGGAAAAACAAATGTTTTTTCCAGATTTTGTTTAAATCTATCAAATACCTCATTGTGAAGGTATCTTGAGCAGGATCTTGATACGGTTAGGGTTAGGGGTGAAACTAATGGAAACTAATACAAACTAAATTCAGAAAAAGGAAAGTAAAAAAAGAAGAGTAAAAAAAAGAGGCAAAGAAAGAAAAAAAGTTTTAAAAAAACCACACCAAGAAATAAAAGAAAAAAAGGAGTATAATTTTTTTAAAAAAACCAAAATATGTAAAGAAGTGACTTCCAATCTTTATCATAACATATATAAATAAGTTTGGCATTTCTTCATCCCTTATAAGTTTACAAACAGATATACTCTTTTCCCCATAACCCATCCCTTATTCTATAGGAAAACATCAACTTTGCAATATGGCAGAAGCAAAAACCCATAATGGGTTGCCAGAATTTCATAAAAACATTTCTTGTTTTAATCTTTTTTTCAAATAAATTTATTTTATATGTCTTCCTTTTGTTGGTTTATCACTTTCATTTCTCCTTTAATTTTTAAAACTTCAACCAGCTTCTTTTGTATATCCAATAAAGTGTCCTTATCTGCCTTTTCTTTGCCTATCACTTGTATTTCCACTTTAAATGTCTCCCCTATCTTGTAATGCACAGTATAAGGTCCCATTGACTAGGCCATAGTATAGTGTGCAAGAGAACAGGTAGATTTCCTTAAGGTTCCCAGACAAGAAGAATTCTGTGGTATTTTGTCAGCTGGAGGTATTTAATACTTATCTAAGCACAGATAGGGAAAGAAGTATGATAACAATCAGAGCAAGCTCATACTCTTTTTTTAAAAAAATATACTTTTTTATTTTCCATTTTCATAACATANCTATGAAGCGGTATATAAGTCTAACTGCTATTGCTATTCATCCCATCTATCTTCAACCCCAGAATCACCTACATGGGTGTCTTAAAATGCTGTTTCTGTCAACACTGTTGTTCCCCACATCTTATTCTCGAAGACTTTGATGAATCCGCTTCTAGTCTGACCGAGCACCTCTTAAATTATGACTGCCTAGCAAACATCACATGTATGCCAACTTTATGTGGCTCAGATCTGTCATTTGAGAAAATGAAAAGGTTCCATTTTGGGGATCTTTAAAAAACTTCACTTTACCCTTCTGAACTGACTGACTGGATATAATAGACCTTTATGGAGTGAGGTCATTGACTGCATAGTTGTGCCTAATTAGGTTCCTACTATTACAGGACATTTGGACAGATTGATATCTGATGGAAGAGTGATTAAAATAGTCTTTTTCGATCACTTTTTGGTAATTTTTTTAATGTTCTTGGGGAATAATCTGGTTTCTATTAGATGAAATTTTGATTGATTCGTATAAAATAGCGATAGCCCAGGGAAATGTCACAATTATTCTGACTGACATCTTTCTGCTATGTCACATCAGCTTTTCGTGCTGTTAGGGAGCAGAGAAGAGTATGTGACAGATGAACAAAAGTGGAAGAAATCTCACAACAAATGAAAGTGAGCACAAGTTTAGAATTGTTAACCACCTGATGTGAGCTCACAAAAGCTCCATCCATTATGTGCCTTTATGATGGAAGTGGGTTCTGATGTGGTGTTATGACATCCCCCAGGCCTCTAGAATTAATTGTTTATGGATCCTTCTGAGTCTTTGGAAAGCTGAGCTTCTCAAACTAGGAGTGAGGAACTACTTGTTTAGCGTGACCCAACAAATGCGCACCCAACAAAAGCGTGCCGACAAAACCGTGACGTCGAAATCGCTCCCACAACAGCGCGCTGACAAAACCGCGCTGACAAAACCGCGCCCACAAAAGCGTGATTACGGTTAAGGTAAGGGTTAGGGTTAGGGTTATTATGTTGTTTTCGCGCTGTTTGTTGATAGCACGCTTTTGTTGGTGCACTGTTTTCGGTGCGCTGTTGTGGGCGCGATTTCGACATCGCGGTTTTCTTGCCGCAGTTTTGTCGGCGCGCATTTGTCGGTGAACCCTTGTCTACTTCTATTCCCAAGTATTTCATCTTCTTCCGCATCCTGTTTAACAGAAAATGAAATCAATTTATCATTTTGAGGCTAGGATTGGGATACCATGTCATCCAATGACATGACATCCAATATAATTCCTCCTTGCTATCCAACTTCAAGGAAGAAACTGGTAAGTTAATAATGGGTGGGATAAGGAAGAACAAGGTAAAATGAAATCCAGAGAAAGTGGTGTTATGGGCCCCTATTCAGGTAGTCCTCAACTTACAACCACAATTGAGTCCAAAATTTATATTGTTAAGTAATATGTTAAGTGAGTTTTGCCACATTCTATGCAGTTTTGTTTTAAAAAGTTTTTTCTTTAAAAAGAAAGCCCACAATAAGCTACAGTAATTACAGTTATGTGTGTGTTTGTGTGTGCATATAATATTAACAAAGCTTTGCCTATATTCCTTTTTAATCAGTTTTTCCCCTTCATAATCTTAAATAATATTGCAGACCTCAGTATTAAAGAATCCATTCAAGCAAATAAATCATTTATACAACATTATTAGGATTATTTTAGCTTTCTTTCAAAGAAAAAAAAACACCACCAGAGTCATATTTAAATTAGGCATTTTAATTCAGTTAATAATCTTATGACTTTTCCTTAGCACAGATTTTATAGCTATAGTCCAGTCATAATATTTTACTCTTTTTCCTTGATGAAAATTATGCCCCAATATATCGTACCGAGGAGCTCTAAAAGCTAGCGTTAATTATCAATTCATTAAATATTGATGAAATTAAAGCCAATAAAAGTTTGAAACCATATATTTGTCAGGTATTAAAAATGTCCTGTAATTAAAAAAAGAAGCATTAAAATGACAGCATCTTTATAAATAAGCAAACTAATAAAATGTAACATATGAACTCTTAGGATTAATTATCAGCAAGAAAATTCTCTTATTTGCATTTCTAAAACCAACTATTAACTGTGCCTGTCCAAGGGGGTCAAAACCAGTGGTGACATTCAATTTTTTTTTACTACTGGTTCTATGTCTTGGGCGTGGCAGAAGAAGGATACTGCAAAATCTCAAGTCCCACCCCACTCCAGGGGAAGGATATTGCAAAATGTCCATTTCTACCCGACTCTGGGACCAGCCAGAGATGGTATTTGTCAGTTCTCCGAACTACTCAAAATTTNTTTTGCGACAAGCAAAGTCAATGGGGAAACCAGATTCACTTAACAATTGTGTCCCTAACTTAACGACTTCAGTGATTCACTTAGCAACATAAATTTTCGGCAGCATTGTGGCCATAAGTTGAGGTCAACCTATATAGAGTATCTAGTATTGATTCTGATATTTAGTTTTAGTTCCTAGTTACCAAATTTCACATCATTTTGTATGCCAGTCAACTTTTGAAAAACATACTTCAAAATAAATGAAGTATATTTTAAACTGATAACAGTAAAAGACATCTACTTGTTTTAATGCTACAATAAAAAAAATTATTTTGCTGATTTCTTGACCTCTCTGGGGAGCACAGAAATATTGGAGAGAAAATTATTCCCAAAATAAAGTGCTTACTTGCAGCCTCTCTTTTTTCAAGAGAAAGTGTCTCCATTGTTTTCTTTAATTCTTCAGTTTCTGCTGTTAAGTTTTGCTTCAGCTCGTTCAGTTCAGCCTGATGTTTTACAGATAACTCTTCAGATACATTTTTTAAACTGACATCTACATTCAAGGCCCATTCCTTTTTAAGAGTCTAAAAAGAAATTAAATTTAATAATGAAAATTCCATTACCTTAACAAAACATTTTTCCAAATTGGATTCTTTGTAATTTTAGTAACTCTTCTACTCTGTTCCAGCGACTACATTATAAGACTTCACAAAAACAGAATAGGATTATATTGCAAGGCCTCTATCAAAACATGAAACACAACCTATCTTTTTCCCCCAAGAACACTAAAATCTTACTAATCATCTCAGGATTCTTTTAGCACCTCTGAAATCTGTCTCCTAATGGGAAACACAGAACTCTGAATATATCCTTAACTAGATAACCTTAGAAAGACTGGTATTGGCAATTTCACTCATATACTTGCCTCTTACATAAGGGGCATTCTGGAAGAACTGAAACAGCAACATTTGTCACTCTTCTTAGCACTCTTACCCCATCCTTCTTTCATACATATATCCTTTTTTCCATGTCTTTAATAGAGTATATTTTCTCACTCCAAGGCAGAAGAGCCCAGAGTTATGCAGATTGTAATGGTTCCCAGCTACTGATCGCCAACCTATCAACTATTGAAAAACAGTAGCTAGGATGAAGATAGGAGAGGCAATAGCCAAGAGTGAGTGAGTTTCTGCAGTATTTTCTGTAGTGTGAAATTTAACCTACATTAGAAATGAGAACACACAGACCTTATTGACATCTGAAAATTATATATACATAACCTGCTTTTAATTAGCATATTCATATCAGAACAATATTAAAACAGATCTTTTAATTTAAGATAGAAAATGTTATTTAATAAAATAACTAATTACATACAATACCTCCAAAATGTGAATATGCTTCTCCTCCATTTCCAGACTTATTTTCTTCTTCATTTTATCTGCCAAATGAAGTGGAACAGAATGGGACTGACATATAGGTTCAAATGAATATTTTTTTAAAAATTTGGTAGTGAAAGCACATTTTTCATTAATTTTCATAGTTAGTATAAATTTTTGCACATCTTTCTTGTTAATATTCCCTTTCAGCTTGCACAAAATAGTCACAATATTACAAAGCTTGAAATATATGTTTTTATTTCTTTAATTTTTTAAATTTTTACTGGCAACTCATTTTTTATTTCATTGTATTTAATCACTCTGAATATACTGCATGATCCATTATTACAGTATTTGGGATTCATTTTGCTTCCTGTTTATTTATTGCTTCTGATAATAAATCAGCTCATCAAAAAATCTGGTGTTTTATTAATCATATTCTTGAGTCAGAATCTGTAAGTTGTGTACCCATGTCAAGTTGATGTTTCAAAACCATTTCTTCCTTTTCTTTCTGATTCTGTTTGTTTACGTGCTCCAATTCAAAATGGTATCGACTTTGCAGAACTGCAATTTCTTGAGCATGCTTATCATTGAGCATTTCACGAAGCTCCATTAAGGCAGTTTCCTTCTCCTTTATCAGATTCATTTGCATTAGCTCCATCTGAGATGTGCATATGTTATTTGAACTTAGTCTTATAGCTTCCAATTTAAGATTATCTGGGACCTAAAAATTAAAGAAGACAGCATATGAATGAATATGCTTTATTATAACTATCAGTTTCTCACAGTATTAGAGTTCCAATGCTGTGCTCCTTGGAATCAAGCTTCTACTAAAAACAGAAGATATATTAGGTTTATATATTAGGGTTTTTGAGGGCAGCATGCTGTTTCCTCACAGCTTGATTTCATAATTAGTATAACATCATGCCGACAATATAAATGGCACAAATTAAAAACTCTATTTGTTGCAATCAGTGGGGATTTAACATCTGCAATAGCCAAAGACTTTATTATTCTATTGAATATGGTACCTCAGCTAGCTGCAGCTCCCCTTGAAACGTAGTTTCCACTTTTTTTTGCAAGTCTTCTAATAACTGCTTTTGTTCCTCCATCAGTTTAGCATGTAGGTTTTTGTTCTCATCTTGACACTTATAACATTCACCTATGTCATAACTTTGTTCTTGTTCTTGTTCCTGAGCCTAAGGAGAAGTAAAGAGCATTACATATATTTATACACTAGAACATTCACATACCCATCAGAAACATGATAACCAGATTTCAAGGTTGGAAACAAAATTTGCTTTTTATTATAACCCTGAGATCCAGCAGCTGCAGTAAACATATACTTGGAATTAAGTAACTCCAACTTCAAGACTACTTTAAGTATTAGAACTGAATTTACAGTCTTTTTAAAAAAATGAGTTTTCTTCATCAGCAATATGCTTTACTGTTCGAGGTTCGTCATTTTTCCTGCTGACTTTAAATAAATTGGATCAGGAATGCACACTGTTCTACTTCAAATCACCAAGCTATCCAGATATCCCTTCATTCTTCTGATAACAGCATAAAGTATTATTAAAATGTACATTACTTTTTTTCCTCCAAGATTACAAGAGTTTGATTTGTGTATCATTTGCATACTACACTAAGATAGTTTTTAATATTTGCTATAATTAAATGATTAGCATCGTTATTTATCCCATGGCTGTTACTATAAAATTCTGCTATGAATTCGAAGTATTCTGAAATCTTGCAGCATCTTTATTATGACTTCAACTACTCTCTTTTTCTTTAGTTAAAGAGATTAATTTTAAGATGCGCATCTTCATTTCCCTGATTTTCTGGATTATCCCTGCTAAATCAGTTCCTCAATTAACTTCTAAAGCAAATTCCTTTTACTTAAGGAAGTCTTGCTTTTTATATTTACTGCTTTAAAATACTGACAGAGAATGTAAATATAATATGTGTGTAATATAAGCAGCTGGACCAACACACCATGGCCAGCATAGGGTACTCTGTAACTATTAACAGTATATTAATCCAATTTTAGGGCCTTTTCCCTCTAAAATACCTCTAATAAAAATAACTGTAATGTTATTTATGTTATTAAAAGGAATATGGCAGCTCAGTGGCTAAGATGCTGAGCTTGTCCATCAGAAAAGTCGGTAGTTTGGCGGTTCGAATCCCTAGCGCCACGGAGTGAGCTCCTGTTACTTGTCCCAGCTTCTGTCAACCTAGCAGTTTGAAAGTATGTAAAACTGCAAGCAGAAAAATAGGAACCACCTTTGGTGGGAAGGTAACAGCATTAGGTGCGTTTAATCTGCCAGCCACATGACCACGGTGACGTCTTCGGCCAGCTTTGAAACGGAGATGAGAGTTGGGAACGACTAGCATACTATATGTGCGAGGGGAACTTTTACCTTCACCTTAATGTTATTTATATGCGGCCCATAACTCTGGGCAGTTTACAATTGTTCAAAACATCTGAAAACAAGAAACGCAAAAACACAAAAACAACAGAACACACAAAATCAATTTATTCTTCTATCGGTGCAGGGCAGACTGATGTAGTGTGCCCGCGCATACGCTTAAGTGGTGAAGAGTTGTCAGCCATTCCTAACGGCGAAAGGGAGGTAGGGAAACCACACAAGACCCCCTTGGTGAAAGACCAGTTGAAGAAAGAGAACCTCTTAAGAAGGCGGGAGTTGTTACTGCATTGAGTCCGGCCCTTCGCCCCCTAACCCAGGCAGCTCGGAAAATAAGCGCCTGCATTCTGCGGCCACCCCGCCCAGAGCAAGTGGAAAGCAACGCACCTTTGAAAGAGCGCGGGGGCTGCCATCAGCCTCTCGAACCCCTGCCGGATCTTCCCCTTCCATAACCAACGGACGCCCTTACTCTCGGCCAGCAACGGTCGCGCAACCCATGGAGGCCTCCAACTTTCAGCCAATGGGCTCCCTCCTCCCACCCAAGCGCCCTGCAAAGCCCAAGCGAAGCAGCCTCGGCGCCTTGTATTGGAGCGCCGGGAACCAATAGGGAGCTAATAGCAGGGCGCGATGCTCCAAACTGAGCTTGCGGCGCAGCTTCCGGAGCCTGTAATCGCCGAACGGGGAAAACCGCGGGGTGGCGCACTTAGAACTCCGAAGCTCTTTTGGGGTCCTTGGGGAAACAAAGCTTTATTTTGGTTTCGATTCTCAAAATTTCGAAACTACAACCTGTCTAGAGGCTTCAGAATTGTATAAGAAAGGTGGAGTCAGAACGGCCTCTGGAAAGAAAGTTATGTATTAAATTCCCTACGAATTCATATCAGCCTGTTTCTGCCGATCGTGTACTCAAAGTCATTGGCACAGCCGTTTCTATAGTAGTTTTCTGCGTATATTCTTTTTCACCTTTATAAGCCATCCTAGGTCGTTTGCGATTGGGCGGGCAAAGAAAATGAAATTGCAGGGTGTTTTCGGAAGGCGTGTTGATGTATTACTTTTGTGGAAGAAAATAAATAAAGTGTTAGTAATTTCTACTGTCCAATAACTTCTCAATCACACTCCAATCTAGTACACTAGTGAAGAAATAAGATACAGTATGTGTATATATTGGGTATATGCTAAGGTGAGCAGATTTTCAGATTGGGAAAGAGGGACACCTTTGATGGGGGGGGGGCTTGATTAAAAATTTTATTTTTTTAGCAACAAAATTTTTCATATAATGCAAANTATAATTATAATTTACCACTTCATGGTCAGTTTTTACATTAACATGTTACTATATGAACTGTGGAACATTATTAAGCAGGAAGCTGAATAATCAATAGGAAAGAAATGCCACTTTCATTTGGATCACATGTACAGTACACAAAGAATATTAATATTTGATAATACTTTAGATATAGAAAGTTAGTGGAGGTACACTTTTTCTTATCCATTATTATATGAAGAAATATCAGATTTTGAGTTATCACAAGCTCAAATGCTTAAAATCATACTTTTTGCAATGATTCTACGAAGTTTTTGTTGTATATCACAACAATGTTGTGAAATAACAAAGCCATGTAAACAACAACTACATTTTTGCCGGGCATCTATGTTATTCTGGCTAATCTCAAAAAATGAAATAAGACGAGGCCTGGCGATTACTTGCATGGGGAGACCATCAGGATATACCAGACAAGGTTATACCAAATTATGCCAGAGTAGGAAATTTTAAATAAGATTTATATACTGTTGTTGAGACACTGGGAGTTGAGCTAGGAGCTTTACATGTACATAGTGATTAGGAACACTAACACTAAAGTATTTTCTTCCACGGCTCTAGAAAATCTGAAATAGCTTAAAATCCTTGACATTATGGACAGTAATAGGGATACTCAAAGTGTGAAGTAGGACAATGTCAAAAATTGCAACAGAGAAGTGAATTTCTAAGTGTTGTCAGACCAGTGGATTTTTATACATTGAAAGGACAGAATGCTTCTTTCCCTTTATGGTTTTGTGTTGCAGTAAGGCACAATTCTGCACAACATTTTAAAATATTGACTCCCAAGAGGATTTGTCTTTATCAAATACTGTGTCCATAATACATATTTACCTCCTGCTGCAACTCTTCTACTTGTTTCTTGTTTTGTTCTTTTATATCTTGCGTTTCTTTTTCATGCTTGATCTGCAGTGTTTTCATGGTTAGATGGTATTTATTTTCTAGATTTTTATGTTCCACTACAAAATAATGTTGAGTTCTGTTATAAACATTCTTGTATTATAAGATGGGATGACTCATTTAAACTACCTTTTTTAGTATCAGAAGTAGAGAACTAGAGCATTCTGAAGAGATGTAGGAAAATAGGAGTGAATTTTATGGGTTTAGTTTGTATAATTTTATTTAACTTTAAAAAAACAAATCATTGAAATTTTTGGAGCAATCAAAAAACAGAAAAGGCTATTACAAAAAGAATTATATGCTTGTCGGTAGTGTGTATGCATGTTTGTGTATGTATAATAGATATAATAGGAAGAAATGAGAAATTGCTATTTCAAGCATCTTCTCCATACAGTACTATATAACATATAGATGAATCACACCTGGAAAAAACAACAAAGGGCAAAAGGGATAGCTGTAAAGGAGAGTGGTTAGCAGTTTAGGTACAAAATAAACTTGGATAGCTTTTCTAGAATGGCTATATATGGAGATGAAAGGGATATGCTGGTAGACAGAATACATTTAAATGTA